GCTGCTAATCGTGCTGTTGCTGCTAATCGCGCTGCTGCTGCTAATCGTGCTGCTGCTGCTAATCGCGCTGCTGCTGCTAATCGCGCTGCTGCTGCTAATCGTGCCGCTGCTGCTAATCGTGCCGCTGCTGCTAATCGTGCCGCTGCTGCTAGTCGTGCTGCTGCTGCTAATCGTGCTGCTGCTGCTATCCTGCTGCTGGCGCGAGTCCCGCTGCCGGTGCGAATCCTGCCGCTGCTGCTTTCGCTGGATCTCTCCGGACTGCTGCTAGCCTGCAGCCGCTGCCACAACTAGGGTGCGCCGCTGCTGCTGCCGCTGCTGCCGCCGCTGCTGCAGCTGACCCGGGAGGCAGCTGCAGGCGAAGGAGCCGAGGAGGTTGGTGCAGACGTGCTGGCAGCCGGCGTTGGGGCTGCTGCTGCTGCTGCACTCGTCAATGTCCTGGCAAAGCTTGCCGTTGGGCAGCAGGCGGAAGCCCGGGAAGCAGCCGCATGCAAAGCCCGGGGCCAAGTCGAAGCACAGCTGCTCGCAGCCTGCTGCGCCCGTGCTGCACTCGTCGACGTTGCTGCAGCCGCTGCCGCTGCTGCGCCCGTCGCCCGCAAAGCCCCACCGGCAGCTGCAGCGCGGCAGCGCATGCACCCACTCCAGCACGTTTTCTGGAGACACATCTGAGAAGCAGTCTGCGTTGGAGTCGCAGAAGTCCCGCAGCAAGCAGCAGACTCCTTCGCGTTTCGGGTCGCAGTGCGCGAGCTCTGCGCCGAGCTGCCCCAGCCGCTGCAGCGCAGCAGCGGCGCCGCCCGCGCCCAGCAGCAGCTGCTGCTGCGGGGGGGGGCGGGGGGGGGGCGCCTGCGGCTCGCGCTGCGCCGGGGCGCGCGCCGCCAGCAGCGGGGCTGCTGCTGCTGCTGCTGCTGCTGCTGCTGGGGGCGGCGGGAGCGGGGGGGCTGCGGAGGAGGCAGAAGCAGGCAAGCGGTGCGCGGGCAGGTTCGCGCAGCAGCAGCAGCAGCAGCGGCAGCAGCAGCAGCAGCAAAGGGGAGCACCTGCTGGCGAGCGCTCTTAGCTTCGGGCTTGGCTGGCTGCTCAGGGTATGCGACATGCACTAATGCACAGTGTTCACATCCAGTCAGTTAAATTCGTTCTTTCGTTCATTGAGTGCATTTCAACGGAAAGTCATGTCAACTGCTGCTTCCTGAACGGCTTCGGAAACTCTAAAAGAACTCCAATGCCACTTCGAGGAGCAACCTACCTTGGGGTGTATATACACCTGCAGCCTGACAGTCCACGGACCAGTTTGCTGCTGCTGCTGCTGCACCTGCAGCAAAAGCTGCTGCAGCTCTGAGCCTCTTCATAATCCCTTGAATGGCACTCTTCGAATTAAGACGGAAAGGGGAAAAACAATTTGTTTTGAGTTGCTGCTGCGCTGCTGCTGCGCTGTGGGGCCGTCGCTGCTCCTGCTGCTGCTGCTGGGAGAGCCGCCCGCCGGCTTGTCTGGCTGCAATTTCGCGCTTTCCTTCGCCCTACAAAAGCTAGTGAGCTTAAAAACACAAAAAGCATAAAAGGAAAATAAAAGGAAAAAGTTTAAGATCCGAAAAAGGGGGAAATGAGCTGCTAACAGCGAGAAGTGACCTCCCTGGTCTGTCCGGGGTTCGCGCAGGGAGCCAGCTGCAGAGGCTACTGCCGCTTCAACGGTGCTTTCCGGAATTCATTCTGAAATAAATAGAGAAAAGGAAATTTAAAATAAATAAAAAAGTATTTAAAGACGCAATAGACGCAAAAGACAGCCCAAAACCCAGCCTGCTGCTGCACACCGACACCGCAGCTGGCGTCACCACGGTCCCACTGTAGCTGCAGCCTCTCCCCGCCGCGACAAGAGGCTTCTTTGCATTTTAATTAATTTGATTTAATTTTATTTATTAAAATTTATTTTATTTCCCAATTTTTAGTTTAAAATGCCACTAAAAACGCTCATCCATTCCCATTTCATGGGGCCCCTACGCCCTGCAGCGCAGCAGCTGCAGTGAACAGCAAACGCCAAGAAAGATTATTAATAGATGCAAAAAAGGGATTTTTAAAAATATTTAGAACTTTCTTTATTTATATTTGGCAAACTACTCGAAAGAAAGAAAAAAAATCCCCGAATTTTGGGTCTTTTTCAT